GTAGTCAAGTGTAATGCCAAGCAACTTTGTTGTTGAGCAAGATTCAACATACAACTCCTCGTTCTCATAAATGCTAAAATTGTCATGAGCAGAATTCAGCGAGAATTTCATTAATGATGTTTTCGTGATGTTCAGTGATGGATGATTTTTTTTGCCCATGTTACTACCTGCTGATAGACATTCTCTGTTTTCTCTGCAAGTGTTATTGCATTGCTCTCCTTTATGAGGAAATTGGTGTCGTCTGCATAAGCAATCACATGTATTTCCGTGAGACTATTCATGAACTGCAACAAGTCATTCGCATATATAAGAAACAGTAAGGAGCCAAGAATTGAGCCTTGTGGAACACCCTGTTCAATGGTTGCTGACTGACTTACAGTTTTCCGTATCACTACTTTTTGGGTCCTGCCATGCAAATAAGACTTCATTAATTTCAATGCGGTTTCCCTCACGCCATATCGTTCCATTTTCTGAAGTAAAAGTATGTGATTTACATTATCGAAGGCTCTGGAGAAGTCAATAAATAAACCACAGATACTTAGTTTGCCATCAAGAGCATTTATGACATGTTCGTGAAATTCATACAGTGCCGTTTCAGTACTTTTGTTCTGGGTGAAACCATGCTGATTTGGTGAAAATTGTTTATCAGCATAGAAATATGATAGTAATTGCTTTTTAATATGCAGCTCGAAAATCTTTGAAATGCTTGGAAGCAAGCTTATTCCTCTATAATTCTCATAAAGATCAGTATCTCCTATTTTAAATATTGGTATAACGAGTGCAGCTTTCAATTTTTCGGAAAAAGTTCCTCGTTCCATCGACATATTCAAGATGTATGCCAAAGGTTCACATACCTGAAAAACACATTTTTTCAAAAGGTTATTCGAGATTTCGTCGTGACCACGTGCGTTGGAATTTTTCAATATTTTTACAAGGTCTACAATGTCATGCCTAGTTATAGGATGTAAGAAAATGGAGTTTTGGCATACTTTTATGTTACTTTCCAGAAAATTAAAGTCAACAGCTTCTTGTTTATGAGCTACGGAAAAATGTTTATTGAAGTTGTTGGTCATTTCAATTTCAGGGACAGTTTTATCACCATCATGAATTATGATATTGTGGAAATTGTTTGCGTTTTTCTGGATTTGGTTAATAATTTGCCACATCTGTCATCTACACTTTGTTTGTAATTATTTTTAAGTTTTTCTCTATAAGTCTGCGTTATTTGCCTACTAATGTCTACATAACGCTCATCAACTCTTACGCAGTCTGANAGGGTGGGAAATAAATAGTTCCAGAAAATAAGTAAATTCTCGTTTCCCACAATGGCATCAATATCCCCTGGAGGGTAGGGCAAAACCGGTGTCTCGTTAATACTGTTAACATACTGGGAGGTAACAAAGCACTCTTAGAGCCGCGTTATGTCAATGGATACTGGCTAAAACCGCATATGTTGGACATGCTGACAGCAAGTGCAATAGGGAATTAGGCCCCTGGCGGCAGGTCCTCATTACACATCACTCGACTACGGTAGATCTAGGTGTTGAAGACACCTCAGTTTCCGACTCCAGCCCACTCGACTTGAATAAAGCGAAGGTCAGGCGCTTCGATAAGCCAAGGTCTTCAATGATGTTGAATAACACCCCATTCATTGGCTTATCCTTGTGTTGCCGCAGAAGTGAAGTGATTACTGCGGCTTTTCAGCTTTTTGCTGAAAGGGTTCCAACCATTGCCAGAGCTGTGAATTCATAGTTCAGTTTCGAAAATTAAACCGAGTTATTTAGCCGCTCGGGTAGCTGCCGTGAAAAGAAAAGCACAAATTTCTGCTCTCTCATGATTGCGGACCATGCAGAGGATATCAAAACTCTTGATGACTCTACATACCCTCCATCGAGTACTATTCTATCATGTAGACACTACAAACTGACTAATCGAACGAAGAAATAAAGTATTCAAATTTCTTCACCATGTTGAGCGTTCACATCGTTTCCATAAACAAAGATCAGCAGGTGTTTTCATTTCATATATGTCACTCACATTTGGAATAATGCAATCGAGGAACACTGAGTCTTGGACTACTGTGTTTCCAAGGTCTTTGACCGTGTGTGAAATGTCGTCGCTTTCCAGATCGTTGTTGTTCATGACTATCCAGTTTTCTCACAGATCGTCCCTTAAAAGGAGCAGGCATCTATATTTTCCCCAAGCCTTTTTTTTTATAGTATATCAAGATCTTACTGAAAAATACCAGAAATTCTATATTTGTTTTGCTGCTGCTGTGGATGCCCCCATTTTCAGTTTGTTCTCCAAAAACTTGTTATGAAATTGGAACATATATCTTTCTTAGGAACGCTACACAACATAATTTATCTCGAATGAAAATCAATCACTCTTTAGGTATAATTTTATTAAGTTTTGGGTCAGAAATATTTGTCTTCATCCTCATCAAAACCTCTTTGAACTTTCATAGATGAAAACACAAGAATTTTTTTGCCAAGAATACAACTTTATGCCACCTGAAAAGGGACAAATCTGCTGATGTTACAATGACACAACGTAAAAACATTTCTACAATGTAGGCCGGTGAGTTTTTGGACCAATTTTTTGTTTTGCGTTACTGTGTGCCATGATGGTGAACCGTATAAAATCTGGGAGTGTACTACTCTAGACAAAATCTTTCTCTTGGAGGACCTAGGATCCCCAACATCTATCTATCTATCTGCTCCACTCCACATGAAGTGCTAGAAAAGAGGTCCCAATTCAATAAAAATATTAACAGGAGCTTGCGTTTTCTGTTTTTTTCCTTTGGCCACCCTCTACTGTTGAGAAATTTAGAACATGTGTTGACTTCTCTTGTCGAAATTGAAACATCTAGTATTCTCATATGATTTTTCGGTTTTGTGTGAGTATAAAAAATTTTGGGGTATTGTAAAATTCTGTTTTCGCCTTGTAATTTTATAAATTCTCGTTCGAGTTGCAACTGAGTTCTCTATGGATCCCATAGATAGCGTCTTCCTGAAGGGCGACGTCATTGTCCGTATTTTCTGAAGCTTGTTCTTCGAAGCCAGTTGAGTCCAGCAATGCATTTGTGGTCAGCCCAGTACCACTGATGATACTATGACGGATCGAAACAGCGCTGTCTGGTGTTGAATCATAAATGCGTTTTGTTTGGGGTCTGGTTTTCATTTCGATATCTTGCAGTGAAAGCTGCTGTGTAAGACAGAAGAAGAATTTCGTTCGCGATCGATGTGGAAGCTAGGCTTTGCAAATGACCGCCTTGGGGAGCCTCGTTCATCTTTTTTGTCCGAAGATTGAGTTCTTTGTTAATCCTGTAGATGGCTTCTTCGTAAAGAAAGATATCATCGCCCTTATTTATTTCGACTTGTCCATTGAATTTTTCTTCTATTTTTGAATTCAAAATTGGTATTCATATGTTGACAAGAATATCACATAAAGTACTGAGAACATTCATTATGACACAGTTGACTTGTGTATGCTTTCAGTAAAAGGTGTCATAATGTTAAACAACAAAATTGTGTGAGGTGCTAAGCATTCGCATACATCATTAATTTCTCGACTTATTATTATGGTTAATATACAGCTACCTTCATGTAGGTTGTTAAGTGGGATGCGGGAGGTAGATTATTTTTGTGTAAATCAACATTCTAAATGATTTTTTTAATGCGGAACGCGACGTAGGTTTCGATCTGGACTTCACTGAGCATAAACAAATATTGTGATTGGAAACGAATTCATTATTCATGGGACTGTTGCAAAACTGCACACAGATAAATTCAAATTCGATTAGTAAGGATGTCGAGAGATATAAATCGTATACTTACTGATAAACAACGTTTGAACTATAATGAAATAAATATTTATATGATGGATTAGATAAGTATGAAGTATTGAATAAACCGAGACAAAACCTTCATAAATTGAATCTGTTGAAGAACAGAGTGACTACATATTTTATATACAGGTTTTTCTGCAACAGGCGTGTGAAAATTTGGTAATTATGATACACAAATCTCAATTTGTTTATCTGTTTCTCTGTGCATTGATATAATGTTGCTTTTTTGAACAGGGTTTCGAACCAGTGTCGAAATCCACAAATGAAGTAAAATTTTGAAATGCAGTTTAGAGTTGGAAGGGGTGAGACAAATGGAAACGGGGTCTTTTCAAAATTCAGTATGTGAATAGAACATATTTACAAGAAGGTTTTTGGTGATTCAGTTAGGGAAAATTTTGAAATAACTCTCATCAAATCATTTCTTCCAGGGTAATTTTCATTATCATTCAGACACTTTCATCACATTGTGTTTCTCAATCCATTTTTTGAATTGTGTTAAGATAGGAGAGAACGTTCTCCGCTACAGTTTGTGATAACCGAACTCACATGGGCGGATTATAGGCCAGTGAACGAAGACGTAAACACGGAAAAATTCTGACGGACTAAACTTAAGAATATAAAATGAATCAATAGTAAAGAAACGTTTTCAAGGGCAAGCATTCATTAACAAACACCAAAATTACATCAAGCCCATCAATTTATTATATTACACAATTTATGTGATATGAAAGTTCGTCGCGAGACTTATCAGTGTTGAAACAAAAAAAAAACAAACAAACAAACGAACGAACGAACAGGGAAAGCTAAATAAAATCGTTTAATAATACCAGTCGGGTCGGGTCATGTCCGGACGGGTCGGGTCGTGTCGAATGCATTCGCGTCGGGTCGGATCCGGTCGTGTCGGGTCGGGTCCTATGTAACTTGATCTTGACATAACTCTAAGAAAAAAATGTTTTTTACAAAATAAGTACCTACATTTTCATTTCAAGTTTTTTATTCAGAACATGTAAATGAAAGCTTGTCTGAAAAATTTGTTTTTTAGTATTATATTCATTTAAAAATTTTTATTATTAGATTTGTTATGAGTTATTTCAGCTAAAGTTATTTTCAGTTGAGAGATGTGGTTTAATATGGTAGTATTTTGTTTCAGAAAATAATGAGACTCTTCAAACGACGAAATTCCGATCCGAACCCTCAGTTAGAGAGCTTATCCACGCTTTCCGAAATCGAAGGGAATATAACTCAATCTGCACGTGTCCCCAGTACAGAAACCTTCGATGAGGCTTCAAAATCAAGTAAGAATTTTCAAATCAAACTGGTTTTATTGAGATTTATTGACTATATTTCAATATAGATTTTTTTAGACTATACATGATAATAATTATACAATTTCCACAATAAATTTCATTCAAGACGCGTTTCGTTATACTGTAGCTCCATCAGTCGGACTAATACATCAAACTTTCCTACAACACATTAGGCAACACAAAACATAATTAGATAATTGATTATTTCTGGTAAAACAGGTACATTTTACAAAACAAGTAGAATACAGTATTACTTCTAGGTGGGTGAACAATGGTGAGTGAATAACTACTAGTTAGTCATTCAGAATGAAATTTGAATATTTGCGTTTATTGATTTCCAGAAATTTCAGCGGGTTTGATGAAACCTGCAGGTTTTATTCACAAGGAAAATACGTTTCACCTCTTACCCTGTAGATAAGATGGGTTAGACATGTTCGGGTGCAGGTTCTGACATTTCCTAACGAATATACTATAATTGCTAACTTGTAGTGAAAGCTGCAGTGATAAAGCAACAGAAACAGTCTTTGGGGCCGTCGTTTATCACTGTCATTTGTAGTTTTAAATATCTGTCAATCTCACAGGAGAGTCATAGTCACTTAATACCGGTGCAGTCGGTAAAAAAAACATGTTTTCAATGACATGCATGAATGTTTTCGGGCAAATAAGGAAACCTTCTTCTTACTTCTGTAATAATATTTGTATGTTGGGAAGGAGTTGATACATGAGGTTTTTTCCCATTAAACCTTTTGAAAACCAATCGAAAATCAGTGACTTGTTATATTAAATATTTCATAGGTTTCATCTTTTTGAATATATGATAATTTTTCCCATAAACAGTTGAAGGAAGGAAGCATTTGGTCTAGGCACTGATTAATAACTGTGATTCAATGAGTCTGATAACTTCTATCAGTCAATACGAAGAAAGAGGTTTGTCTAAACACACTGAGATAGGATAGAACCGATTATTCAAATTGTGGTCGGGTGTGTTAACCACTCAACACAATGAAAATGTTAATAAAGAATTTCAGTTCTCTAACCAATATGAATCATTTTATATATTACTCAGCTACTATACTCATATTGAGCTTCTCTTCAAAAGAGGAATAGTTTTCGCTGGGTCAATAAGATAACTAAAAAACCTATTTCAAATATTTTTTGTTGAGAATTCATTGGCTCCTCAGGATTTTACTTCGACGTGGTGAGTAATAATTTTTTTTCAATACGTCGAGAAAAAGAAAAGTAAGAAAACAAAAGTATTGTTCTATGGTATATTGAAAATTATATAAGTAGATAATCCAAAATAAATAACAGAAAACTCCACTCAGATGAATATTTTCAGAATCACGATTGAAGCAAATTTTGTAATAAAACAAAAATCAAAAAAGAGTAAGACATAGAAACATGGAACTCAAGTAAACACAGTGTGGACATAAATCTCATCCCTCGTCTTGACTTTCGCGGGGCAAAATATCAAAGTGGGACAAAATTTGTATGAAAAGGAATAATTTTTTGTATTTTTGGAAAGAAAGCCAATGGTGTGACATCACTCGCCGCTGAGATGGTGCTGGACTTGTGGTGATACGAAGCTCTCTCATATATGGATATGGAATTTACTGAATTCATATTCTTGATGTTTATTTTCAATTCAAAAACATGAAGAATACTGACAGGCTTTGCAATATCTCTCAAGGTACATGGGATGTCTGAAATTTCGAAAAAATGATTATGAAATTTTGATAATCAGGAAATATTTTTTTAAGGACAAAACACAAGCACTACAGGAAAATCCTTAAGGCGCCTGTGCCTGTGGGAAAGTAGCGATTCATATTGGATTTGAATCGCTGGAGATTAAACTCATTTGGAGAAACGTTTCCAGGAAGTTTATTCGACATAAACACACTTCTCCAAATGAAAGAGTCCTTATTCAGCGAAGTTCGAGGTGTACTGAGTTGAACCTCAAAACGATGAGCAGCCACACTCCGTCACGTATTTCTGATATGTACCGTTCTTGGTGGAATCAAATGTGCCAAGTCACTTGAACACCTCACGTGAAAGTATCTATAGAAGAAAGACAAATCTCCAACCTTTTGTCGATGTTCCAGACTATCAAGGTTGCAAGTGATGTTCGCGTCTCCAATCAGGCGGATGGCTTTTTTCTGGTTGGAAATCCAGGAGCTTCAGGGTATCCTTAGGGGCGGAGCTCCATAAATGAATACAATACTCCAAAAAAGGTCTGATCTGAGCTTTATAAAGCATCAAAAGTTGCCGACGTGTGTACAGTTTTTTGTTCGGAACAGTGTTCCAAGCTGTTGGAAGCAGCCTTTGCCATTTCAGCGACATGATTGTGCCAATATTTATTTTTTCCCAAACCATACCTAAACGATTTGAGCTCCACAAACTTTATTGAAAAAATATATCACAACATGTTTCGCTAAACATTAGGTGTAGTTTGGGAAATTACTATGGATCTTCATCAAGTAACGGCCGAATCAATCAGAAAACCAATACTTATTGGTGTCTTTTTAAACCCCCAACAAACTTTTTGAAGCAGAAAGCGTGAAATTATTATATCCGGTTCGGAGACATTTATCTTTTTGGAGAAAACCGATGCCTGCGGTTTTGTGGCATTGAATTGAACCTGGTTATTTTCACCCCAATTTGAATGTATGTAATGTAATTACATACATAATTACAACTATGTGATTACATAGTTTTAAAATAATCCTTAATTGAGGTCTGCTTTTGTGCAACTTGCAGTCCTTGCTTGAAAACCTTTTCTCGCATGTTGCGAAGAATTATATCTTTAGCAGATATGCCGCTTTCTTCTGCCCATGTTATGCAGGTATTGGAACAAATCAATGCATCATCTGGTTTAACTCTTACAGTTGTAGTAGTAGTTGGTGGCTCCAATATTTCTACAAATATTTTTTCTTCTTGTACTGCTTCATGTACAATTTCTTAATCTGTCATAAGTTGCTCTGTTTCTTCGATTCCTTCAAACCAAGAATTTAAATTTTCTTCACTTGTCTCCAATCCTTTTTCTGATAGATTTTGTAACCAATCGGCAATAGCCAGATTATCTTCAGGATCCCATTCATCTGTTCTTCTGTTTCTTCTGTTTCTGATACATCATTCTTTGTAGGCCATAACTTTTTCCATGAAGATTGGATCAAGTTAGATGGAACAGACTTCCAAGCATGAGCGAGAGATAATACAACATCCTTCAAATTCAATCCTTCAAGGTTCTGTGTTATATCACCATTCTGAGATATAATATGGATCAGCAATTTTTTTCTATACAAATACTTTACTTTTTGGATAACATTTTGATCCATCGGCTGAAGTAAAGGTGTGCAGTTTGGTGGTAGGAAGATGGTTTGAATATTCCCATCACTTAGTTCAAGTTCTTGTTCATTTGGGTGGCCCGGAGCATTGTCAAGTACGAGTAAAGCTTTTATAGGCAAGTTGGATCTTTTCATAAACTTCTTGACTTCTGGGACAAAGCCTTTATGAAACCATTCGCTAAATACCTGTCTCGTGACTCAACTTCTAATTTGGTTCTTGTAGCAGACTGGCAGACAAATGTTTTTGAAAGCTCTGGGATTTTTTTGCTTTACCAATCACTAACAAATTCAATTTGTGCGTTCCAGTAGCATTTGAAAACGGTATGAATGTGATTCTATCTTAACTCACTTTACGACCTGATGCACTTGCTTCTTTAGAAGATACGAATGTTTTATTGGGCAACAGTCTCCAGAACTGACCGCTCTCGTCGGCGTTATAGATTTGCACAGGAAAAAGACCCAGTTCTTCTACTTTGTTTTTAAAATGCTGGATAAATGGCTGTACAGCAGATTCATCGCTTGATAATTTCTCACCCGATATGGTTAATAGACGGATACCAAATTGCTTTTTAAATTTATCCAGCCGTCCATCGATTGTACGAAAATCATCTTTGTGGGTAATATTTTTATAAAATTCGATTGCTTTGGCTTTCAGAATTTTTCCAGATATAGGAGTATGTTTAGAACGCCGTTGTATGAACCACATGTAAAAAGCGTTTTCCATCTTTGGACAATCGCCAACTTTTAGTGTTTTACGCTGTCCTGGCCCAGATTCCATTGTCCTGACGTGGTCTACTATCTTTTGCCTTTTTTTCTTAAGATCGTATATAGTAGCCTGCCCAACACCATATTCTTTTGCCAATTTGCACATGTTTTCTACCCTATCTAACTTCTTTAAAATCTATTTTATTATTCAAATCTAGTGTCTTGTGTTTGCATTTATTTGACAGTTTTAACTATAAACTATTCTCACTTGAAAAATACAAATACGTAAGTACGTGCACGTGATAAGTTTTGAGGTTATACTGCTAGTCGACGACGCGAGCGACCGAAGCGCACAGGTGTAGAGGGGCGAGGGAGGCGTGGGGTGGAGGGTGCCGTATTATTGGACATGTCGATCTATCGAAGTGCTGGATTAGTGAGATTATACTGTATATTGGATTTTTCAGCTTTTCAACGAGTCATTGATATACAATGAAAAGAGGGTTGGAGACATTATGGATCCCTGGGGAACACCAGCGTTGATGCATAAATCGGACAATCCAGCAAAGACTGCATGGAATATTGTATCCGAACTCTCGAATAAAACAAAGAATGTACGAAACATAAACCTCAAAATAGATAATGACTTGATCGAAGATGATGAAACTATTGCTGAAATATTCAGCGAATACTTTGAAAACGTCACTTTCGAAACTATATCAAAAATTGTTATGCCCCCTCAAGTAAATTGTGACCATCTGATGAAGAAATTAGGTAATCATCATAATTCTATGTTTTTATATCCCTATACAGATAATGAAATGTTCCTTCTACTCAGTTGCAAATTAAAAAATAAATTCTCTTCTGAACATGATGAAGTGCCACTCTTTGTTATTAGAACTGCATTGACAATTTTGGTTGAACCTCTTACATTTCTGGTTAACCTTTCATTTCATACAGGAATCTTTCCAGAAAGATTGAAAATCGGTAAAGTAAATCCCATCTTTAAAAAGAAAAATTCATTTTTACCAGAGAACTACAGACAAGGGACAACGGTCCCTTGTGGATTCTCCAAAATATTTGAATATGCATACCTAGATAGATTGCTTAATTTTCTCAAACAAGAGAAAATCTTATCAGAAAATCAGCATGGTTTTGTAAATAATAAGTCAACCATGACTGCAGTTCATTCATTTTATAATAGAATCATAAAATGTATTGTACAACGGCAAGTGTCCTGTTGGGATCTTTTGCCATCTCAGCAGGGCATTTGATTGTGTCAATCATATCTTGAAAGAAAAACTATCTCGTTATGGGATAAGAGGTTTACCACTAAAATGACTTTCAAACTTCTTTCAAAATCGAAAGCAGTACATTGAAGTAAATAATGCATCGTCTCAAATAAGAAAAATAAATATAGGGGTTCCACAGGGGTCCGTCTTGGGACCTGTATTATTCTTATTCTATATCAATGATATTGACAAACTGGACGTTCCGGCTTTTTTACCTTATATGCAGATGACACGTCCGTTGTCTTATCATCTAATGACAATGCAAAATTAGTCAAACAATGTGAACTAATAGTAACCAATATATTCGAAAGATATCCATCGACGGCCACTTGCAGGGAACGTTCTTTCAGGAAGCTGGAGAGCCATATACAAAAATGATCCGATATGCCATAGCATCGAAGTTTGACCAGCAAACTTTCATACCACACACGGTCAAAAGCCTTAGAAATATCAAGCGCAACACCTCACGACTATCTATGTTTCTTGATTGCGTTATTCCAAATATGGGTGATATACGATAGAAGGTCGTCTGGTGATCTTTGTTTCCGAAAGCCATATTGATGATCGCTTCCAAATATTTAGGGACACGGTGGCTTTCTCCATGATTTTTGATATCACTGATAGCGGAGCGACTGTTTGTCCTAGTCCAAGTTGATACCATACATTTTTCTTAAGTATGACCAGCCTTTTATTCCCCCTCTTACTGAAATATTTGAAAAAAGGCGTTCCAATGATTTAATCAATAGTCAAATCTCTAAAAATTTTTCTTAAATATTGAAATTACTTTTCAGATCTTTCCGGATGGGGAAGAACTTGGGAGAAGCTCAAACGCGGAGACTCTTCAGAACAATTACGATCCAAAAATAAAAAAAGAAGTTGGTCTGCTCTGAGAAAACGAAATGAAGAAAACAGAAGTACCAGTCCCGGTGTTTCGAATGACGAAGAAGAAAATTCTGATTTGCAGCTTTCTCAAATGGATTTAAAGAAAATATATGATATGTATAGAAATATGTGCGATAAGCCTGAGAAAATATTATCTTCAAAAAGAAAAGCAATATGTATGTCAGATAGTCTGGAACTGAGCCAGCAACAATTTTTGGAATACTTGATACTCATGAAACCGAATGTGGAAGAGCTGGACAAAATTTTCAGTAATTTGAACATTGATTCCGCACATAGTCAATCAAAACTAGATATTGTATCTGAAGAAAAAAGACAAAAACCGTCCAGATTCAAATCTTTCTTTTCCCGTTCAACAAGTAAATCTGACGACGAAGGTGATTTCAAACGCCATCCAAAAAATTCCTCAACGGATAGTTTGACAAGTTTGATCAACTTTATTATGCCTAGTAGAAAAAGTGTTTCCAACTTTTCTCCCAGGCTACCCTCAAAATTCAAGTCCGACGAAAGCGGATACGGAAGTGATTCCACGAAAGCTGCCAGTATTGACTCTCCAGTTGGTTCTATAAAATCTCAGATAAGTAATATTTCAAATGAACAGGTAACTCCGCAAAATATTTCCGCACCCACTAAGGATTATTCTGATGAAGATACTGATACCGCAGAAGAAGACAATGAGCAGGATACGACCTTCACTCCTTTTGTGCAGTTTCCCTCTAAAAAGCGTTCAAGGTCACGAAGTGCTGACTATGAGTCACTTTCACGAAGGAAAGCTTTCAAATTTAAGAAATCGCCGATAAAAAAGGATATGCTCAAGATGTCCATAGAGGATTTAACCCAGACTTGTGATAAATTACAACTTGATCAGGGAAAAGATGAAGCAGAAATTAAATCCAAGCAGGCAAGCTCCAGTATTGAAGAAAAAGAGTTCAAATGTGTCAGGTTGAAGGTGGGAAGAAATGAAACAGTAGGGATTGAGATAGGTCCAAGCACTGGACAAGACTCCTCAATTAGTTACTCTATTATTAACTTACTACCATATTCAGTTGCCAAAAGGTATTCTTTATCAATATTTTAAGAAAATAAACTAATAAATGATTATCTTTCAGAAATGGAATTCTGAGAATAGGTGACGAAGTTGTGAGACTGAATGGTGTTAGAATTAAAGGATGTCCAGTGTCTTTAGTTGAAAGTTACCTTGAACCAAAGAATGGTGAGTTGGAAATAATTATATCTCGACTGCCTGAAAAAACTATTGCAAGAGATGGTAAACGGAAGAAAAATTCATTTTTGGGTAGTTCTCTATTCACAAATAAACAGGTGCCCTCAAACAGATTCACTAACCTGAATGTTGATAGGAGTAGATTTGTAGGATTATCTGATATTTTGAAGGATCGAAATGGCGAATTAGAAAGTAAAGTTACGTTCAGTGAGAAACCAAGACCACCCCCAGAGGAAAATGCATACCTTTTTAAAAAACCTCTACCAGATAGAAGAAGCATTGAAACCACATCTGGAGCAGTTACAGGAATGAGAAAATTCTCGATGTCTTCGGAAGTGGGCCCAAAAAGACGAAGTGATGTTGTGGGTATCGAAAATAAATCACAAAAGGTTCAAAAATATCCCTACAAAACTGTTTTATTCCTCAAAGGGCCAGGACAGAAATCTCTTGGGTTTTCAATTGTGGGAGGCAAAGATTCACCAAGGGGGCCTATGGGCATCTATGTCAAGACCATTTTTCAACAAGGTCAAGCAGCTGAGTCGGGTATAATGAAAGAAGGTTAGTGTATATAAAAGATTTATTAAGTAAGTACATATAGAATAACATATATGATCTGGAATAATAATGCTTTCTCTCAATAACGTTATTCAAAAGACAGGGCTTGTCGAATTAGCAAAAATCTATTAACAGTGGTGAATATACGCGCATTACTCAAAAAGCCCTTCTATTCTGCCATGCTTTTAGTTTTCCAGATGTTATCCATTTCTTGAAAGTTTTTGACTCCAAAGAGTTTGAAATCGCCATAAAAAGATTATTGAGACTATTTTGACTAGCAATAAACATATTTCGTGTATATACAATGTCAAATTATTTTAAATTTTTCAGGTGACGAAATCATTTCAATAAACGGCACTTGCTTTCGAGGATTGGCCCATCATGAAGCTGTTTCAATCTTCAAGAATATTAAATGTGGCGAGGTCTACATGGAATTAGCTCCCCGTCATCATTATAAACTTTTTTCGAGTTCTTTGTGATAAGGATTGAAATTGAGTTACTTCCAATCCTTCATGTGAACACTTTTCAAGTCGAGTGTATTGGTGATAATTTTGTCTTCTTCAATTTCAGTATGGATTCATCGCGAAAATTTTTACTGACATAACCATTCTTGGCCTGTATTAATGTTTATACAACGTTTACGATGAGAATATCAAAGACTCCAATAATTGTAATAATCAAATTTGACCCTTTAATTAATTCTATTTTTTAAATTATGATGTACCTTGCAGAGTGTACAATTGTAATATTTATGTATATATGCTCATATTGAAATAATTATCTCTAGAAAAATAACTTCGGGAACTTCTGTCCACAATTTCGCTATTATGGTACATAAGTGAATATTCAAAAGAATTACATGGAACGACTTTATTTTTATTTGAAAGTACTTCTTTCAGCATTATGAAAGGCAGCTTGAAATAGTCTCAGAAACTGATTGATTTAGTGCAAAACCCAACACCCACAAATCAAAAATAGAAAGAACAATGAAAAGCATAATTTCAGGTGATTTATACTTTTGATAAGGAATGTTTAAATTGTATCCACTTTTGACGGAAATAGATTATTTTGTGAAGTACTTGATACAAATCGCAAATGATTGACGGATATATTCGTCACAATATTTGAAAGACATTTTCAAAGTATTAATAAATTGCACTTTCAAGAACGTATCGAATTAAATTGAAGTAATTTCAGTATACGTTTTGATTATAGAAAGGGGTCCTAATTAAAAAAAAACAGGTTTCTATAATGTTTTGATTTGTTTATAGTGGTTCTCCGTCTTATCGAAAATATTACTAGATTTTTTTTTTCATCACAAAAGAAACTTATATCGTGAGACAGTTTTTCACGTCAAAGGTCCCTACTTCATGAAAAGTCTATTTTCATGTATTTCATGAAGGATTTTGCATATTTGTGTTACCAAATCGTAGTTTTGAAACAATTAGTGCTTGAAAACTAGTTTTTTGAAACATAATTAAGTCCAAGTCGAACATTGATACAGGACTTATTCAGAAAGTAATGGAAAAAAAAATAACCGAAATAAGTACAGAAACACAATATGTATCAATATATTTCTAAGAATACATATTATTTTTTTTCAGAAACATTTAGCATTCCCCAATTTCAGTTACAACAGAAATTGATTCACTGTTTTCCTGGTCGACAGAATTCTGTTTCTGTGCAAGATTATCATTATGAGGTCTATAAATATGAATTTAAATTTTTTACAAAATTTGATTACATGTTTGGAGTTGTTCTTGAAAACTACTTGAATTGAAATAAAATCAAAACCACGGACGCACCAGAATCTCTTTTTTTCAAACTTATTATGCCACTTAATTTGGAGCTCCCGAAATTTATTTCAGAAACGCCACTGCTCATTAATACGTCTTTGCACAGGCACTTCATGTCTCAGTCTGTGTTATGATACAGTGTAGGACGTTGGAGATTGCGACAAATTTTAAGTAGTATTAAAGTAACTTTAGTTTTCTACTTATTAATAAGGGTGGACTGAATTCGCATTCTGTTATTTTCGTTTGTACCATTGACAGTAGATAAGCTTGTACATAGGAATAACCTATAAGTTTTGTGACATATTGTAATAATAAAACATTTCTTAACGGTAGCTTGGATATACTGTTTTTTCAAATGAATTTTCAGTTGTTATTTATGCAGTAGGATTTATGAGAAAGTTTCATTTGAATGACTTTTCATAGAACAAATTATGTAGAACATCCAATACCTTCAGTTCATATTTGGATTTTGAGAAATCTGTATTGAAACTTAGATTTAATTTAAAAAAATAAATGATTTCAGTTTCTTTTCGAATAAATTTTGATGTTTTAGTTGCATTTGTTTACTGTGTATGTACACTATTTATTTTCTTTTGTTTTGTATAGGTTTATTTGCATAGGATCAACATAGGTACTTCAAATCGTAAATGTAATTACTAATTTGAACTGAATATAGCTTTTATATTTTTGTAAAAAAATTAAATGAAAAATAAACCTACTAACTAGCATTTGTTTCATTTGTGACTTTCACAAAATTCGTTTAGCGAAAAAAACATCTATAGTTGGACTTATTATTGAATATGTTTGTCAAAAAAATTTATATATGGGAATATACCTTCACTAACCAATTTTATAACAATACGGCCCCTATGACTTTGACAGAACACTATTTTGTTAGAATAGACAAAGAAAGTATATAAACAAGGTTAAATACTTATTTTTATTAACAAGCACATGAAACGAATAGATAAATGTAATTTAGTCCAGAAAAGTAACTTTTTTAGCATTTACAGGCTAGTACTTAAAAATCTATGTTATTTGAAGAGGAACCCTTCTAGATTTCAGATGGGCAACGTTAATCACTTCTTCAAGATCTATATGCTTTTTAGCACATCAGATTCTATCGACATCAGCGACAAACTGGTTAATCTCTCTTGAAGCATTGTACTTCTTAATTCATTTCTAATTCTTTTTAATTTGGAGAAGGAGCGTTCCCCACTGCAGTTAGTTACCATCATGCTTAAAACGATTCTCAATGCGATTTCTACATTTGGAAATGTGTCTTCAATTTTGTTTTCTTTCAAAAGTTGATATATTTTTAATATACAATCCTCATTTTCACTGTCAACAATTCCATTCAGTTGGACTGACGGCACAGAGCCATCAAAAACACTCTGGCGAAAACTTCTGCGTTTCTATAACTTGTTCATTACCTTCATGCAAGGCGCTTACTGCATCTGCTCGGGCTGAGCATCGGGTTTGTTAAAGACTTTTAACAACTTTTTGAACCTAACTGTTCCATATTCCATCAATGAGTAGAGCCCGAAAAAAAGTTGTACAGTTTCTGAATCATTTCAAAAAACTTTGTTGCCTCCGATACGCACCCAGCAGCATGTACACCTACTAATTCAAACTTCGAGCTTCATACTGCGCTTCGCTCGCTCAATTTAAATGGAGCGAGTCACACTGATGATTGTACTATTAAAATGTGTATGTGTTTAGTATATTTGAATTATCTAAGCATGCTGAAGTCGGAAAGCCTAATTTTTGGGCGAGAGTAGAATAGCTTCCCGCATGTAAAAGCTAGTAAGTTGGTATTGTAGTCAGTAATTTAGGTTCGATTTCTTCGTATTATATAAGTTTTTTGGTATCTAATAAATATTGGTCATCGTTTGGTGATCTGTCAGGAACTAGGGATTTTGTATTTGATACGACGTAATCCATCTTGAGTTCATTCAGGTTGAAGCCTGGCTCCCTTCCCCTTTTAACTGGTGTTTGTCAGAAAGACAAACGGGTCATGACTGGTGTTTAATGGTGGCATAAAAGTCCTCAGACATCCATACCGCCCTTCGCTGTATACCCCTACCTGGCTGGGGTGAGATGGATGAAGATATTATTCATCTGTTAACGGAGGACATAGGGACCTCATTCGACAGAGTGTCGGGGCCTTCTATATCGGGAGGGGTCGTCTACAGCGTAATCTATAGCTTCCCTGACTAAAGTATTTGATACGAGTGCCCACTGTGAAAGAGGGGTGTGAACATGGTTGAAATTCAAATTTTCTAAATCAAGATATTTGATTGAAGTGTAACTGATCTTTGTCTGCGTAGTGCATATGGAAAATATTCTACAACGGCATATTGGTGTCAGCACAAAAAAAGAATTGACTGATTGAAAAGTGTCAATTGACAGATTTTAAGCAATCAGATACGGCTATGTAGAAATATACAGCAAATTGAGACTTTCAAATCTGTTAATACGTTTAAAATCTGTCAGTGGATACGTTTATAAACTGTTGATTGACAGATTGAAAACTGTCAATGTAAGTATATAACTCACCAGTTGAAAAATTCGAAACCGTACACCCTACTTGACATACATGTTTTTCTTAGATCAGTATATAACGAACTATACACTGGCAAGTATTGCTGGTTATCTAACGATTGGTCCATACAATGGTATAACCTTCTTTAGTGACTCCGTTTCAATATTTGAGCATTTATATTTTGAATATTATATCATGTCCAGGGATGCGTTTTGTGAACTTGAACAGTGGGAAGTTTAATGTATCTTCGTTTTGCAAAAAAGTTGAAAATAATGGAGTATAAGATTAGTGAGTGAAGAACCAAATAGCCTGAATGCTACCCTAACATTTATGCAACAGAATAAATAACCCTCTCTCATCAAGTACTTCTACAACAACTCCTCAGGTTTCTAAAATAGATACTAGTCATCTGAAATTGATAACTTGAGAAGGACATTACAACCAAAACTGTCTCAAATAAAAAAATTACCATGAATAATATCTACCTATCAAAATGTGAAAAATATAGATATTCTGGCATTTCCCTACATTCAAATGATTAACATTACAAGGGTTGCCTTAATATTCGATATGATAATCTTATTCAATATGCCATTCACATTCATAAAATTCTACGCCTAACTACTTCCGTCCGGATAAATAGCGGACTTGATTTGAATTTTTTATAATGTCTAAATGTCATTGATACTACCAACAAAGTTCACATCGATGCATTTTTGAAAGCACAATATACTTAGTACGTCGAAAACTTATTGATCGAGTAATCATTAGAATGGTATCAGAATGTTAATCAAATATTGCTTTCAAAATCGTTATAGGTACTCCTCGATTTTGGAGATATTCTTAAAGTCATATGATTTTAGAAGAGTTGAAGGAGGATCTACACCACGTAAAATTTGCCAACTAAACATAGCTGATATTTTTTGGGAAGTGTGATGGAATTGGCCGATACTAGATGAAACTCCTCAAACAAATTAAACAAACTACCAGTTGATGACTACATTTTATTAAGGCGAAAGCTTAGTTCAATTAACTACGGAAAACTTTTTGTTAAACCGTTTAGTATATAATTTAGTATAGGTTTTTAATATGTGTATATTTGAAGTACTTATTTGTCAATGTGAACTGCCATGGACAGGCTTTTCGGAAGGCTAAATGGTTTTGCCTTGTATTGCAAATTATAGTATGTTATTTATATAGAGCTTCCAACAAGGACTTTGACAATTGATAACGGCCATTTTGTTGAAGCTACATCGGTAAAATCAAATGTCATTTATTCAGTCTGTTTTGCGAGCAACGTACCCCGCGATTCGCCCACTTTAGCTCGCCATAATCGTTCTACCGACATAAGTATTCGCAATGTGGTGGATAATTTTGAGTCCAGTAGTTTAGTAAACAGTGTCACTGTTTGTGACACTGATAAACTTGAGAAGATGTAAAATTGTGCAGTATTCATTTATGTAACGTGTTTTCATAATACTTCTGTATTATCAGCATTGGAATTCCCTGGATTTGCAAAGACGCCATCTATGGGCTCAATAGAAGACTCATTTCACGAATATCAACGATAAACGAGGCTCCCCAAGGCAGACGAGTTTTTGGGATCTGGTGTTAACCATTCTATGGAATGTCAAAATTTCTTATTTTCGATGCGATGATTATTTGAATCTATAATCAAACTTCTTCGACAATTTTTCCATAAAACAAAGACAAACTACAGAAATTTCCGAACGTTTTTTCTGAACTGCCTGTCACTTGGTAAGAATTCTATTTCTATTTGAAAATAAATAAAAGACCAAAATTGAGGAATTTCCTCAACTATTCTCATCCGATCAGTCCATTTCTTCTTATTCTCCCTTGTACAATACGCGAGTACAATTGTCAGCGTCATACGAAACATTATCTTGAAAGCAAGCCAATCCTGTAGACATACCTCAAGTTCTAAGTCAAATATGTTTAAAAATAAAAAGCCCGTCATTCTATTTCTTTCAAGCTAATGTCACGTCCCTGCATGCTCATATATGGGCTATCGCAGCATACCGTTACAGCTAAGAGTTTTGCGGTACGGTCCTGATTTACTGTTTACGCTCAACAGGCGTATCGTTGAGTCTTTCCTGTGTATTTCGACAAATAACTCGTGAATGTTATTGTAGTGGTTTTATTTATGTGTTCCAAGGCACTCTTTAATGATTTTTCGGAAATTGGTAAGTGAAAGACTATGTGTATTTTACTGAAGATAATTACGAAGTTTTAATTCATATTTTTGTTTCAATATTTCAAAAGCGCGCAGATTTGTTTCACACTTGTAGCACCTAACTTTGGCATGAGTAACTATGCAAATATTCATATTTTTTTAATAGCTGGAGGCAATGACAGCTATCAAATTCTTCTCTGGTTGATTACGATAAAATAATTCATACAAGTTATTTCTAAGAACTTGCGTTTCAGTTGTGTTATGTTATTGAAATGATTTCTTCGGATATTAGGTAAGAATTTAATAAATTTGCATTTACTATTACTTGTTTTCCTCAAATAAAAAAAAACATTGTGAAGAGGAGGTATCTATCATTGCGAGGGTGTCTGCTACCTTGAATTTCAATAATGTATTAATTTAAGAATTGAGTTTCGAATAGGAACTTGCTCATTAGTAATATTTCTTTCAGAATTTCTTAAACGATTAGTGATAAGTTAGTGCACTTATATGAGAATGAAACCGAAAAATGTTAAGAAAGAAGGTTAGTTATTTCCCAAATAATTATATGTCAGATATTAAACAAAGTTGAAATAAATGTCACAATTTTTCAGTGCTATGAAATATCATTTCTATAGAACTCAGGTGATATGTGTAATTGACGGTTCACATTTTTTCAATATATAAAATAATTAGCCACTTACAATTACATGAACTTTGGTCAGTTTGTTACGTAGTTCATATATCCGTATTTAAATTAATTTGCACCTTAGGTAGGAATACAGGAATATTATTTATACTTTAGTGCAGGTACTTCAAAATTCACTTCCTCGAGGACTTTGAAAAGCATCATATATGTTGTTTTTCCCGTTCCGAATTTTCATCATGCACATGTTTCAATCAGGATGAACTGTTTATCTTTCTGAGTTTGAAGCTAGACAGACCCAATCACATGCTAGATCACAGGTGTTGTTGCTCGTTGAAAAGTAG